TCACATAACAGGACATCAGACCTGTTGTCGGCGAACAAGACTAGGGGAGAGCGAGGCCGCTCACCAAGGTCGGTGAGAAGGAAAGACAGCCAGCGAAGCTCCTGAGCGGCCATGGCCGCGGCGTACACCTCGGCCTCACAACTGGAACCGGCGACAAACGACGCCCGAGTCGACCGCCACGAAAAAGCACCTGCCCCGAGGCTAAAGGAGTACCCCTATGTAGACCGACGCGTCTCCGCGTCGTCGGCTCACGACGAGTCCGAGTAACCTGTAATTGTAACTGGCTGCTTCCCTCCAAGGACAAGTCCCATGCCTGATGTACTCGCCACATACTTTGCCACCCTCTTAGCCGCGTACCAGTAGGAAGGTCGGTGTCTCCCAGGCACAACAAAGCGCGAAAGGACGCTACGAGGGTAAGCTAGGTCTGGGCGAGTGCAGGTCATCAGGTACATGAGACAACCCACCAGCTCAGGATATGGACCGCTGGACTCAAATGGCTCGTCCGAAGGTGGAGCCGTGAGCCCATGATCCACATCAAGAGGGGTGAGTTGTACCTTGGAGAACGGGAAGCGAAACCGCTTGAGGATCTGCTCGACCATATGCGACTGAGTCAGCGTAATGGTGCGAGCTGCCCTGCCCCTGGTGATCTGCAGGCCAAGGTAGTGCTGCAGCTCACCAAGGTCAGTGCAAGTGTGTCTCCTCTGCAGTTCCTCCTTCACAGAGGCCAGCGCGTGCCGGTCGGGAGTGGCGAACACCAGGTTGTCCACGTAGACCAGGACAAAGAACGGGGTCGAGCCACGGCGAACAAACAGTGACGGGTCAGCAGACGACGGAAAGAAGTCAAGAGCTGCAAGGGTCGAGCGAAGAGTGTCGTGCCACTCAAGTGGAGCCTTTCGCAGGCCGTAGACTGGTCGACGCAGCTGCCACTGGGTCCCAGGTGGGAAAGAGCCAGTGAAGCCAGGTGGGTGACGCAGCCAGATCTGCTCGTGCAGGCTACCCTGAAGGAACGCGTTGGAAAAGTCCAAGGAGTGCAACTCGTAGTCGCGCTGGGCTGCAATATGCAGCAACACCCGAAGAGTACTCATCTTCGGCGTGGGAGCGAAGGTTTGTAGTTGGGACTCGGACTGGTCAGGCAGTGGACAATCTAAGGAAGGAGCAGGACTAGTAGAGGGCGGAAGACCAAGAACCTGCTCAAGGAGCAGAACGAAGTACGGCCGTGGCCGCGCAGCACCTCCAAAACCAGCAGGGACAGCACCAGCACCTCAAGGGTCAGCTCCAACTCCACCACCTCCAGGAGCAGCAACTCCAGCACCCACAGGAGCACTAGCTCCAGCAGCACCTCTAGCTCCAGCACCTCCAGCAACTCCAGCTCCAGCAGGACCACCGGAAGACTCAGCAGCTCCAGCTCCAGCACCTCCAGCAGCACCTACTCCAGCAGCACCGCCAGCTCCAGCACCGCCAGCAGCTCCAGCACCAGGAGCACCACTAGGCCCAGCACCTCTAGTACCTCGAGTACGAGCACCTCCGGGACACGTGGCGCCAGCACCCCCAGCAGCAGTAGAACCTCCAGCACCGGCAGCACCACCAGCTCAAGCAGCACGGCTCCAGCGCCGAGCAAACCACTCACGCAGCTCCTGTGGAGAGGGTAGCTCCCGCCGGGACGAAGCACCTGAAGGACCTCCAGGCCCAATACCGCCAGACTCCACACGAGCAGGACCAGCACCCTCAGGCTCCGCACCCCCAGACTCAGCAACCCCAGGCTTAGCACCCCCACGCTCAGCACCCCCAGACTCAGCACCCCCAGACCCAGCACCCCCAGACTCCGCAAGCTTGGGCTCAGCACCCCCAGACCCCGCACGCGCAGGCTCAGCACCCCTAGAAGTACCAGAGTCAACAGCTACCTCGACAGGCTCGAATGCGTCTACCTGGGACACACCTGAGGGGGCAGGACCAAGAGGGGGAAGGGGGTCTACTGGGGGGGGGGAACTAGCGCGAGGAAGAGCGGCGGGGGGGGGGGGGGGGGGGGGAGGGGTGCAGTGCGGTAGGGGAAGAGACAATAAAAGGAACCGTCTGTCGCAAGGAACCGACTCGTCAAACGTGACGTCCTGAGAGGACAGAACACGGCGCGAGGTAGGGTGGTAAAACTGCCAACCAGGCGTGTCAGGGGGGAAGCCAAGGAAGACGCAGGGAACAGCACGGGGGGACATTTGTCCGCAGACAAGTCGCGGACAAAAGCTCGAGATCCCCAGACACAGAACGCAGACACATCGCCAACCTTCCCAATCCACCGCAGAGTAGGGGAGGTCTCCGGCAAGGAGACCCGGGGCTGAAGGTTGATCTGCTGCGCCGCGTACTGAACCGCGAACGACCACAGAAAATGGGGAGCAGCCGTATGGATCATGGACGTACGAGCGACGTCCATGACCATGCCAATGCGGCGCTCAGCAATCCCATTTTGCTGTGGAGAGGCCGGAAGCGTGAACATCTAGCGGATGCCTCGTGCACGACAGAAGGCTCGCAGAAGGTCGGAGGAAAACTCTCCACCTCTGTCGGACTGCAGACGCAGAATAGGAAAGTCGGAGCCGAAACTGTCTCTGAGCTGGAGACGAGCAGCGCAGATTTAGTCAATCAACACCTCAGTGACCTCACCCTTGCTGTGCAAGGGGAAGACTGTGGAGTAGCGCGAGTAGTCGTCAACCACGAGTAAGAAGTAACGCTCGTGACCCTGTCCACGGACGCGGGCTGGGCCCCACACGTCCATGTGAAGCGTCTGCACTGGAGCCTCTGTCGGAGGAAACTCGGAGGAGTGAGGAGCGGCGCGCTGCCGCCCCTCGACGCAGGGAACACAGGTAGGGGCAGGCCCCGGGGGAAGGGGAGGGAGGGACCGGGGGAGACCAGAGGCAAGGACACGAGAGGCCATGCCTCGGAGACGAGGCAGGGAAGGGTGACCAAGGCGGTGGTGCCAAAGGAGAGTCTGGTGGGACAGGAGACGACACGAGCAGGGAGCAGACTCAGGACCGGACCTGGACGCTGCAGCAAACACCTGACCTGATAGAGCTACTTGACTAGACGTAGGAACCAGAGGAGACTCGGTAGTCAGTGTGTACAGGCTCGACCCCGGATGATGGGTAAACGTGGCCAAGTGTCGGCCCGTCCGAGCACACGTACAGTGGAACACTCGCTGACTCGCAGGAGTGAACTGGTCAACCCCCCCATCCTGTAGGTCAGCACCACTCACCAAGTTCGTAGAGAACGAGGGGAGGTAAATACCTGACAGGGTGCCAGAAGGGACCGCCGGACACGGTAGGACAGTGGAGAAGTGGGCAAGGACAGGACCCCCAGAGGGGTCTGCCAGGGAGACTGCAACCGGCCGATTAAGCAACGTGAGTGTGGTGCGGTCTCGAAAGAAGGAGCGGGAAGCACCCGAGTCAAGGGTGAAGGTGTGCAAGACCTGAGCCGACGTGGTACCTGAGAGAGCAGACTCACCAGCACCTGGAGCAGCAAACTCACCAGCACCTAGAGCAGCAGACTCACTAGCACCTAGAGCAGCAGCCTCAATGCCCGGGTCAGGCGGAACACATAGGTAACAGTCACTCTCATCAGTAGTAGACACAACATACATGGCAGTAAGAATAGCATCATAATCAATATCAAAGATAGCAACCCTCGACCTAAGCAGCTCACCCCAGCGAGGGATCTCATTGGCGTCTGGGAACTGGAGACGCCAGGCGTCCGTCAGGCGGCCGAAGCAACGCTGGGTGGCATGCGGGCCGCCGCACGGCTCACCAGTGCGGTCGCCGGCACGCAGGACGTAGGCACAGGGACCAGCACCCCTACCCCGCTGACGCGTAGCGTACCACTCACAAAGCTGCTGGGGGGCGAGGTCTCACGAGCGCGCTGCTGCTGCTAGCGCTGACCACCACCGAAGCCTCCCCGCTGCACAGAGCCACCCCGACCAGCTCCACCGCCGCTGCCGCCACCGCCGCCACCGCCGCCACCGCCGCCTGAAAGAAGCCGTCCTGCTCTAAGTGACGCCAAAGAATTAACTTGGCGAGCTAGAGGTAGAGCCTAGAATCAATCCGACGGGCTTGGAGCAAGGAATCCGTAGCAACTTAGATCACTGAAATCGCCCAAGTAACGAGAGAGCAATTGTATATTATGCAAGAGTGGGTACACAAGTCGTCAATGGAATGAACTCTCTGTTTTGCTCTCTGGATTTATAACTAAAACACACATGCAGAAATGTAACATCGAACCGCGCGCGACTCGCCTGAAATTCGGACTGAGGATCGCGTCCAATTTCCGCGATGTCCGCGTTCACATTTTCGGACTTCGCCGGGTTCGTTTCTTCACGCCGACAATCGTGTGTTACAAGGAACAATAGCGAGTATAGCAAAATGTTCGTAACATTCGCTTGCACTCTCACAATTTTCGTGCATGCTTGTGGGGCTGCTCTCAGAATCCCAACCACTAGACCATTGGGATAAAAGGGCTTGTTTCAGTAGCGGGTCAGTGCGCCCATAACCCCCAAGGCAACCGTGCCTGTAACCCTTCCCTAGGATCAATCGGGGATCACCAGTGGACCTCTGACACCCCCCCTCACTGGGATGCCCGAAGTGCACACACCGGGATTCGAACCCGAGACCTTCGCTCTGATACCATGTTGAGAATAGAACGAGAATGAATGAACTATGAATGAAGTGAGTACAAATAGGAAACCCTAACTGGTTGTACCCCCTATGGGATACCCCACTACAGCCTACACAATAGTATAAGCTATATATATGTTCTGACACACCCCCATAGGCAAAGTGGGGGAGAACAAGGGGTCACAAGACCAGTCAAGCAAAGCAAAGCAAAGCTCAGGGTGGATCACAAAGTCACCACACAGTCCGAGCACAAGAGCAAGGCCAAAGGCCAGTTCACATGCAAGAGTATAGACATATATATAAAGCTAGACAAGCAAGAGCAGGTATATATATGTCACAGTACAAGTAAAGTCAAGAGGAGAGCAAGTGAGGCAAGACAGGCACAAGACCCAGCTGGGTGCAGAAGCGCTGATGGTCACAAGGCGCGAGTGCCTTGGTGAACACATCAGCAGTGTTGGCCTCAGAGGCCACGTACGCAAGCCGCAACTGTCCACGCTGCTGTAGCTCACGAGCAAGGAAGTAGCGAAGAGCAATGTGCTTCGTTCTGTGCTCCACACGCTGCTCTCGACACAAGGCCAGCATGGCCTTGTTGTCTACGTACAGCACTGGAGGAGAACGAGGCGGCTCTCCAAGGTCAGTCAGCAGGTAGGTGAGCCAGCGAAGCTCCTGTGCAGCCATGGCCCCTGCGTAGATCTCAGCCTCACAGCTGGAGCTGAGAACCGAAGACGAACGAGTAGCCCGCCACGAGACAGAGCCGGAACCAAGGCTGAAGGTGTAACCCTGTGACGACCGCTGCGTAGCCTGGTCGTCAGCCCAAGAAGCGTCCGCGTGACCTGTAAGGACCACTGGACTGCGCCCTCCAAGCACTAGCCCCATGCCTGACGTACTGCACAGGTAGCGCAATACCCTCTTCGCTGCAGCCATGTGCTCTGGTCGGTGTCTCCCAGGAGCAACATAGCGTGCAAGAATGCTCAGAGGGTATGCAAGGTCAGGTCGTGTGCAGGTCATCAGGTACATGAGGCAGCCAACAAGCTCTGGGTACGGGCCACTCGACTCTACGGACTCATCCGAAGGCAGAGCTGAGAGTGAGTGGCGGGTAGACAGAGGAGTGGCCTGAGGCGAGGAGTACGTGAAGCCGAAGCGCTGAAGGACCTGCTGCACCATGTGTGACTGAGTCAAGGTAATGGTGCGGCGTGCTCTGTCCCGAGTGATCTGCAAGCCAAGGTAGCTGCGCAGTTCACCCAGGTCTGTGCACGTGTGTCTCTTCATGCAGCTCGGACTTCACGTAGGCGAGTCCAGCAGTGTCCGCTGTGGCAAAGACCAAGTCGTCGACGTACACGAGGATGTAGAACGGCGGCAGTGAAGTGTCGGTGCGCAGAAACAGCGACGGGTCAGCAGTAGAAGGAGCAAACCCAAGAGCCGCAAGCGTAGTCCTCACTGTGTCGTGCCACTCACGCGGTGCCTGGCGGAGACCGTAGACTGGCCGTCGGAGGCTCCACTGGGTGCCAGGAGGGAAAGTCCCAGTGAAGCCAGGTGGACGGCGCAGCTAGATCTCCTCGTGCAGGCTACCCTGCAAGAACGCAGTGCTGAAGTCGAGAGAGTGAAGCTCGTAGTCGCGCTGAGCGGCTATGTGCAGCAGCACCCGAAGAGTGGTCATCTTCGGGGTGGGAGAGAAGGTCTGAAAGTAGTCAACTCCCTGCCGCTGACTGAAGCCACGAGCGACGTATCGCGCCTTGAAGACACGTGGAGAGCCCGGCGGCCGCTTCACCCTGAAGATCCACATGCCACTGACGATGTTCGCCCCAGGAGGGGGAACCGCGTCAACGTAGGTGCCTGTGGACTTCCAGGAAGCCATCTCTGCATCCATAGCTGCCTGCCACTGAGAGGAGTAGGGACCCTCTATCGCCTCCGCGTAAGAGCGCGGAGTCGGGATGTCTAGTGCATCCGGGTCTCCCTCAGGAGCAAGCAGTACAGACGCGAGATGAGGTGAAGCAGCAGCCAGACACTGTAACTCCTCCTGCCTGTCCTCTAGGACGTCCGTGCCAAGAGCACACTCACCCCCGACGGACGGAGGACAGACAGACGCAGACTCAGCAACAAGACTAGCAGCGTAGTCTAGACGACAGCGAGCAGCAAAGTCGACGAGCTCAGCGACAAGAGCAGACGCAGCAGTGGACTCAAACGAGGGGTCAGTGACGACAGTGGCAAGCAGACGCGTGACAGTAGGACTGGCAGCATGAAGGGAGTCCGACTCAGGGTCAGCAAGCGCAGGAAGAGAGGACTCAGGAGGAGAAGGCAAAGGGGCACGCAGAGGAGCAGTGGACGGACGCAGAGACATCCGGTGCGTGCCAGGGACAGGAGGAGGACGCTGACGCGAACCGCGACCACTAGCGCGAGCAGCACGAACAGGCGACGCGGGACGAGACGCAGGCTCACGACGCTCAGCAAGACCTCCAGTAGGACCAGTGTAAGGAGAGGGAGCAGGTAGAGGGGAGGAAGGCTCCAACAGTGACTGCGACTGGACAGGCTGTGGACACTCTACCGGAGGAGAAAGACCAAGAACCTGCTGCAGGAGCGGAACGAAGTACGGTCGAGGCCGCGCGGCAGCTCCAGACTCAGCAGGGACAGCACCAGCACCCTCAGCGGCAGCACCAGCGCCATCAACACCTCCAGCGGCTGGACCTCCAGTAGCACCAGCAGGAGAACCACCGCGAGGACAGACAGCAGTAGTCTCAGCACCAACACCCTCAGCAGCCCCAGCTCCAGCAGGACCCGCAGGCTCAGCAGCTCCGGGACCGGCGGCACCAGCACCCTCGACGGTCGAAGAAGCTCCAGCTCCAGCAGCACGCCTCCAGCGGCGAGCAAACCACTCGCGCAGCTCCTGTGGAGAGAGGGGCTCCCGCTGAGACGCAGCACCAGGAAAAACCCCAGGCTCAGCAGCCCCAGACGCAACACCCCCAGGCCCAGTAGCTCCAGACGCAGCACCCCCTAGCTCAGCAGCTCCAGGCACAGCACCCCCCGGCTCAGCACCCTCCGCAGTAGCACCCCCAGGCTCGGCACCCCCACGCACAGCACCCCCAGAGTCAGCACCCCCAGGCCCAGCACCCTCCGCAGTAGCACCCCCAGGCTCGGCACCCCCGCGCACAGCATCCCCAGAGTCAGCACCCCCAGGCTCAGCACTCGCAGCAGCACCAGAGTCACCAGTAACCTCGACCGGGTCAACTGCGTCTACCTGGGACACACCTGAGGGGGTAGGAACCTGAGGGGGGGGGGGGGTCTACCAGGGGGGGGAACCGGCACAAGGAAGTCCGGTGGTGGGGGAAGGGAAGGAGTGCGGTAGGGGAAGAGGCGGTAGAAGGGGACTGACTCGTCGAACGTGACGTCCTGGGAGGATAGAACACGACGAGAGGAGGGGTGGTAGAACTGCCACCCTGGAGCGTCAGGGGGGAAGCCAAGGAAGACACAGGGAGCAGCACGAGGAGACAGCTTGTCCGCAGACAAGTCGCGGACAAACGCCCGAGATCCCCAGACACGGAACGCAGACGCATCGCTGACCTTCCCCGTCCACAGTAACACTGGGGACATCGCGGGCCGAGAGACCCTGGGGTGAAGGTTGAGCTGATGCGCCGCGTACCTCACCGCAAACGGCCACAGAAAATGGGGGGCAGCCGCATGCATCATGGACGTACGAGCGACATCCATGACCATGCCAATGCGGCGCTCAGCAATCCCATTTTGCTGTGGAGAGTCCGGAAGCGTGAAGGTCTGGCGGATCCCCCGTGCACGACACTAGTCTCGCAGAAGGCGAGAGGAGAACTCCCCGCCTCTGTCCGAGTGCAGACGCAGAACAGGAAAGTCCGAGCCGAAGCTCCTCCTGAGCTGGAGACGAGCCTCGCGGATCCAGTCGATCAGCACCTCAGTGACAGCACCCTTGCTGCGCAAGGGGAGGACTGTGGTGTAACGCGAGTAGTCGTCAACAACCAACAGGAAGTAGCGCTCGTGACCCTGCCCACGGACGGGGGCTGGGCCCCACACGTCCATGTGAAGCGTCTGCAGAGGAGCCTCTGTCGGGGGGAACTGGGAGGAGTGAGGAGCAGCCCGGAGGCGCCCCTCGACACAGGGGACACAGGAAGGTCCTGGCCCGGAAGGAAGGGGAGGGAGAGACTGGGGAAGACCAGAGACAAGGACACGGGAAGCCATGCTCCGAAGACGGGGCAAGGAGGGGTGGCCCAGACGGTGGTGCCACAGGAGAGTCTCGTGAGACAGGAGGCGACACGAACAGGGGGCAGACTCAGGACCTGACCGGGACGCAGCAGCAAACACCTGACCTGACGCAGCTACCTGACCAGACGCAGGGACAGGAGGAGACGTAGTGGTCAGGGTGTAGAGGCTCGACCCCGGCCGACGCGAGAACGTGGCCAGGTGCCGGCCTATGCGTGCGTCCGTGCAGTGGGTCACCCGCTGACTCGCAGGAGTGAACTGGTGAACCCCCGCATCCTGTAGGTCCGCACCACTCACCAAGTTCGTCGAGAACGAGGGAAGGTACAGACCAGACAGGGTGCCCGAGGGGGCAGCCGGACACGGGAGGACAGTGGAGAAGTGAGAGAGGACAGGACCCCCAGAGGGGTCAGCCAGGGAGACCGCAACCGGCCGGCCAAGCGGCGTGAGGGTGGTGCGGTCTCGAAAGAAGGAGCGAGAAGCCCCGGAGTCAAGTGTGAAAGTGAGGGAGGATGAAGGCGACGCAGTACTTGAGAGCGCAGTCTCACCAGCACCTGAGAGCGCAGACGCACTGGCACCTAGAGCAGCAGCCTCACAAGCACCTAGCGCAGCAGTACCAATGCCCGGGTTGGGCGGGAAACACCGGTAACAGTCACCCTCCTCACTAATAGTCACAGCATACATAGCAGCAAGGATAGCATCAAAATCAAGATCAAAGATTGCTACACCAGCCCAAAGAAGCTCATCCCAGCGAGGGATCTCACTAGCCCCGTGGAACTGCTGACGCCAAGCGTCCGTCAGGCGGCCAAAGCAGCGCTGGGTGGGGTGGGCACCCCCACACTGCTCACCCGCGCGGTCGCCAGAGCGAAGGACGTAGGTACAAGGACCAGTACCCCCACCCCTCTGACGTCGAGTGTACCACTCACGGAGCTGCTGGGGCGGAGGGATGTCGCGCGAACGCTGCTGCTGCTGCTGCTGCTGCTGCGAGCGCTGACCACCACCACCGCCGCTCCGCTGCTGGGTACCGCCCCGACCAGCTCCACCTCCTCCGCCACCACCGCCTCCTCCGCCGCCGCCTCCCCCACCGTCACCGCCACCACTGCCGCCACCACCACCGCTGCCGCCACCACCGCCGCCTCCTCCGCCGCTGCCACCACTACCACCACCACCCCCTCCACCACTCCCGCCGCCACCCCCACACCCTCCGCCGCCTCCACCGCCACCTCCACCGCCCCCTCCAGCTCCACCCGCGCCCTTGCCCCCCTTGCCCTTGCCAGAGCGGCGTCTCCCACTAGGGGCAGACGCCGCGCCAACCGACTCGAGACCTGCTCAAGCAGGTCGGCAGCAGCAGCAGAGGCAACAGAGGGCAGGAGGGGGGAAGGAGAGCACCCCTCAAAGATGGGGGTGCGAGGGTCACCACGAGAAGCTCCTACAGCGACGATGCTCTTCTCCGCCGTGAGGAGGGCCTTCTCGAGGATGTCGACGGTGAGGGTGGTGGGACAGACCGCGAGAAAGTGGTCCCTGACTACGCGAAGAGAGTCAGGGAGGCGCGCGACTACGTAGTAGAGAGTGATGTACATGGGGGGGGGGTTCTTGGCGCAGAACTCAGCAGGAAGGGCGGCGCGGTAGCGAGTGTCACTAGTGCGGAGGTGCGTAATGAGGTCAGCGACAGTGGGAAAGGCAGAGAGGTCAGGAAAGAGGTAGGGAAGCATGAGACGGCTCAGTGCAGCAGTGGCAGGGGAGGAGTAGCGCGCGACTACAGCGTCGTACAAGGTCTGAGCACTCTTGTACTGACTAAAGTGCGCGCGCTCAGAGGTAGGGAGGTGGCGACGCACAGCAAGACGTGCAGCAGCATCACGGGTGGCCCACTGAGAGCGCACAGTGGGATCAGCATCAGCAGCAGGGGCAGGAGAGGCACCAGAAGTGAGGTCAAAGAGAGAAAGGCCGTCTGCTCTGTCGCACTGTAAGAACAGCTGCAGGTCGTCGACCCAGACCTCAAAGTCAATGGCGCGACCCTCAGCGTCAAAAGCTAGGACACTAGGGGTAGCCATGACAGCAGTAGAAGGTCTCACCAGACAGGACGGGTCGGGCAGCGCAGTAGCACAGCAGTACAGCAACACAACAGCTCAACCGGCTCAGCAGCAACAGCAGCTCCGCAGGACCAGCGGCTCGGCTCCTCAGGCGGTGCAGGCGGCTCGGGCGGCTCGGGCGGCTCGGGCGGCGAGGGCGGCTCGGGCGGCGCGGGCGGCTCGGGCGGCTCGGGCTGTCAGCGACACAGGGCGGCCCGGGGCTGGGACGGGCGGCGCGCGGGCGATCAGGGGCCGGGACGGGCGGCGCGCGGGCGTCGAGAGGCCGGGACGGGCGGCCAGCGGACGGCTAGGGGCCGGGGCGGCGGCGCGCGGGCGTCGAGGGGCCGGGACGGGCGGCCAGCGGGCGGCTAGGGGCCGGGACGGCGGCGCGCTGGCGTCGAGGGGCCGGGACGGGCGGCCAGCGGGCGGCTAGGGGCCGGGACGGGCGGCCAGCAGGCGGCTAGGGGCCTCTGACAGTGGATCAATCGGGGATCACCAGTGGACCTCTGACAGCTGCCAAGTGTCGCCCTCACAAAAGTTCGGACCCACCCGAGGGAAGTTCGGTGGCGTGAAGACGCGGACAATCCGCCGTCACCCCAACCTTCCAAGAACGAACCCTCCCTTGGTCCGAGTCAAGGGAGGTCTTCGCGTGGGGGGCAATCCCGTCCCCCACACTTCCAACACTCCCCCTTGCACCCCACGTACACCTAAGCATGCAAGCCTACCCTAGCACAACATGCATGAAGAGCATCAGGCAATGGCTTGGTGAGGAAGTCCGCGGGTTGCGAGTTGGTCTTGATGTAACGAAGTTTGACTTCGTTGTCTTCAACGAGCTTACGAATGAAGTGGTGACGGATTTGAATATGCTTGGTCCTTCCGTGAAGGATCGAGTTCTTGGCTAGGGCAATGGCGGCTTGGTTGTCCACGTAGATGGGAGTGGGACCTTCTTGTTTGTGTCCAAGCTCGGCAAGAAGGCGACGTAACCAAACCGCTTTCGTACCACCACGCGTGAGCGCCACGTATTCCGCTTCGGTGGAGCTAAGTGCAATCAAGTTTTGGCGCTTGCTTTGCCAACTTATTGCACCGCCCACGAGGGTGAAGATATAGCCCGAAGTGCTTTGGCGGGTTGAAGGATCTCCCGCCCAATCCGCATCTGTGTAGCCTTGTAGCACCATCTAGCGGATGCCTCGTGCACGACAGAAGGCTCGCAGAAGGTCGGAGGAAAACTCTCCACCTCTGTCGGAGTGCAGACGCAGAATAGGAAAGTCCGAGCCGAAACTGTCTCTGAGCTTGAGACGAGCAGCGCAGATTTAGTCAATCAACACCTCAGTGACCTCACCCTTGCTGTGCAAGGGGAAGACTGTGGAGTAGCGCGAGTAGTCGTCAACCACGAGTAGGAAGTAACGCTCGTGACCCTGTCCACGGACGCGGGCTGGGCCCCACACGTCCATGTGAAGCGTCTGCACCGGAGCCTCTGTCGGAGGAAACTCGGAGGAGTGAGGAGCGGCGCGCTGCCGCCCCTCGACGCAGGGAACACAGGTAGGGGCAGGCCCCGGGGGAAGGGGAGGGAGGGACCGGGGGAGACCAGAGGCAAGGACACGGGAGGCCATGCCTCGGAGACGAGGCAGGGAAGGGTGACCAAGGCGGTGGTGCCAAAGGAGAGTCTGGTGGGACAGGAGACGACACGAGCAGGGGGCAGACTCAGGACCGGACCTGGACGCTGCAGCAAACACCTGACCTGACAGAGCTACTTGACTAGACGTAGGAACCAGAGGAGACTCGGTAGTCAGTGTGTACATGCTCGACCCCGGATGATGGGTAAACGTGGCCAAGTGTCGGCCCGTCCGAGCACACGTACAGTGGAACACTCGCTGACTCGCAGGAGTGAACTGGTCAACCCCCCCATCCTGTAGGTCAGCACCACTCACCAAGTTCGTAGAGAACGAGGGGAGGTAAATACCTGACAGGGTGCCAGAAGGGACCGCCGGACACGGTAGGACAGTGGAGAAGTGGGCAAGGACAGGACCCCCAGAGGGGTCTGCCAGGGAGACTGCAACCGGCCGATTAAGCAACGTGAGTGTGGTGCGGTCTCGAAAGAAGGAGCGGGAAGCACCCGAGTCAAGGGTGAAGGTGTGCAAGACCTGAGCCGACGTGGTACCTGAGAGAGCAGACTCACCAGCACCTGGAGCAGCAGACTCACCAGCACCTAGAGCAGCAGACTCACTAGCACCTAGAGCAGCAGCCTCAATGCCCGGGTCAGGCGGAACACATAGGTAACAGTCACTCTCATCAGTAGTAGACACAACATACATGGCAGTAAGAATAGCATCATAATCAATATCAAAGATAGCAACCCTCGACCTAAGCAGCTCACCCCAGCGAGGGATCTCATTGGCGTCTGGGAACTGGAGACGCCAGGCGTCCGTCAGGCGGCCGAAGCAACGCTGGGTGGCATGCGGGCCGCCGCACGGCTCACCAGTGCGGTCGCCGGCACGCAGGACGTAGGCACAGGGACCAGCACCCCTACCCCGCTGACGCGTAGCGTACCACTCACAAAGCTGCTGGGGGGCGAGGTCTCACGAGCGCGCTGCTGCTGCTAGCGCTGACCACCACCGAAGCCTCCCCGCTGCACAGAGCCACCCCGACCAGCTCCACCGCCGCTGCCGCCACCGCCGCCACCGCCGCCACCGCTGCCTGAAAGAAGCCGTCCTGCTCTAAGTGACGCCAAAGAATTAACTTGGCGAGCTAGAGGTA